CGGATATCATCAGAAAACGCGGGATTTGTGCAGTTTTAAATAAAACCAAGTTAGCGATTATGAACAATGGTTATTAACGTAACACCTGACCCCCTCTAAAAATTTTGTTTCGCATTTTAAGGTAAGAAATCGACATTTGAAACCGACAGGGTGTCGATTTACTCGGTGCCGTGTTTCACAACTTGTTTATTTATATACGTATAGCGGATGATTTTTATTGAAAATTAGTATTTATTGATTTTCAGCCCCCAAGTGACTGTGGGCGGAACACTGGGGCTCGTTACTGTGTGTGGGTGATGTGGGGTTCACCTTAGCGAGCGCGTAGTGCCAAGAGGGATGACACTCTAACCGATGTAAACTGCTGACACAACTCAATTTGAGGAAAAATTCATAATTCTGTATAGGTTCCTCTGTATGTCAATGAGACATCATCAATATAGATGGTGCTCTACTTAGAATTCCTGATTCTTCAATTAATAGAATTTCCGTGTCTATTGTTTTATTTATGAGGCCTGGGGTCAATAAACCGGAAGATAGGACAAATAGAATGTTCCAATTGTTCAGAGTCACAGGAACTGTTTATCCATGTTCCCACCTCGCAGTGTAAAAAACCCTCAAAATAAAGTGCCATCATCTTTCAACTTAACTAACTCGTACATGTATCAGCCTTTGAAAATTTGCACACTATTCTGCCTTAGCAAGAAAAATGAATATGCAAATTATCTTTGGCTATAGTGTAATGTTTTCATATTTTTTCGGGGGTATGTTTGGTGTTGAAAAACAGTCACGGCCAAACACACATACCATCTCTTTATATTATATTTTACTGTATATTCATATGTTTTGTCCTTTTTATCCACCCAATACTTTTTATACACTCAACCTTCATGAATAGAAGTATTTTTAAAGTTATCATGTTTAAATGAAAATTGAATCAAATCAACGTTGAATTCGTAAGTGAATGAATCAGATCCAGCAAAATGTATTGGGGGAGGGGCCAAGCTTCGCTTAAAATTACGGAGCGTAAATCGCAGAGAAGCTATGCGTAAACCAGA